AAAAAAAAAAAAAGGCAAAAAGCACACTCTACTTATTTTATAACTAAATATATTTAATAACATTCCGACCCAGAGGCTAGTGTATGCTAGTAGGTTGCCTGGTTTTGTAGAAGATTCTTCCTGATCTGATGCAGCTCACTGAGAACAACACTTGTGCCCATCCGGTCTTGAGGTGACTCCACGGAACAAGCCACGCCAATTCTAATCATAGAGATTAGACAATCCATTATGCTGTTATATCGTGCCTGAACACCAACATTACTGTTAATGGTAACTGCTTGAGCTTCGTGTAGGAGTTTTGGGTCTGCAATCCCCATAACCTGATCGGGTAAGGCCGTTCTGGCATAGTTATGGAGGTTAAGGCCACCTTCAAATAGACTGTCTGTTGGTCTCTTTCCTGTCATCATCTCCAACACTAGAATTCCATAACTATATACATCCCCTTGCATTGTAACCTCACTCCCCATGCCATACTCTGCCATTAACAGAAACCAGAAGATTAGATTGAATAAAAGAGTCTTAAGGGTATATTGACAGGTTGCAATTTTAAAGTATTTTAATATTTTGATCACCTGTAGCAGCGTAACCAATTGTTCCCCTCACACCAACCGAGCTACTTTCATTTGGCACTCTTAGCTCTGAAAAAAATCTTGCAAGCCCAAAATCTCCGACATGAGCAGTCATGTCGCTATCTAGAAGAACGTTGCTCGGCTTCAAATCACAATGAACAATTGGCTTTGAGCTATGGTGATGAAGGTAGTCAAGAGCGGAAGCAACATCAATAGCAATACTTATCCTCTGTAAAAGGTTTAGACTCTGGACTCTGGCTTGGCCACTGATTGTTTCTTGAGAAGACGGATGCAGCCAACTATCTAGACTTCCATTGGCCATCAACTCATAAATCAATGCCTTGAAATCATTGCCTTTGAAATCAATGCTGGAGCAAGAAGTTATGATCTTTACAAGGTTTCGATGACGAATGTTCCTTAAGGTTTCACACTCTGCTATGAAACTCTTGAAAGCTCCTCGATGCTCAAGATCAAGCACTTTGACTGCAACATTAGTTCCATCTTCTTGAAGAACTCCTTTATAGACAGAACCAAAACTCCCTTTGCCAATTAAATTTGCTGAAGAAAACCCATCAGTTGCTTTGAGGATAGCTTCATAAGAAAGTTGCCTAAATGGCTCCCTCAATACGGATCCAGAAGATTGATCTTTGTTTTTCCTTTTAGACCAGCCAAATAGGAAGAAAGACACAACAATCACTCCTGCAATTGCACATGTAACAGAGACAACTATTGTTATTATCTTCACCCGCGAAAGTTTTCCTCCCTCTCCTTGTTTGATGCTACATTTGGGCAACCCAAGCTCAGCAATTCCCCCACAAAGATTCTTGTTTCCTTCAACAAACACTATACTTGCATTTGCAAAGATGCCTTTTGTTGAAACCTCTCCTTCCAAATTATTGAAAGACAAATTCAGATACTGTAGTGCAAGTTTCTCCATGAATTGAGGTATCATACCAGTTAAGTTGTTACAGGAAAGATCCACAGCACGAAGACCTCTTGAAGAGCTTAAAGATGGAGGAATGTTACCCTGCAAAAGGTTTTTGTTCAAGTAAAGGAATTCAAGGCTGATGCAGCCACTCAAGCTACTGGGGATGTCTCCAGACAACATGTTTTCGGATACATCAAGTACACCTAAGTTTATCAGTTCACCAACTTCTGAAGGTATAGATCCAACCAAATGATTATGAGAAAGATTTAGCAATATAGTTAATGCAGAAATGCTAAAAAGTTCTTTGGGGATGTTACCACTCAGATCATTTTGAGAAAGACTCAACAACAGCAATTTTTGGCAGTTACTAAGGCTTAAAGGTATGGTTCCGTTTAACTTGTTGTGTCCTAGATAAAGCCTATTCAATAGCGTTAAATTTCCAAAAGGATCTGGTATTTCTCCAGAAAATTGATTCATGCTAAGATCTAAATGCTGCAGCTGTTTAAGCATACCTACTTCTCTTGGAATTGCGCCAGTAAATTGATTTTTCTGCAAGTGCAACTCATTTAAGCTGACGAGATTCCTTAACCCTGAAGGAATGCTTCCGAATAGCTTATTTATTTGACATGAAAATCCCATCAATTGATTTGATAAATTGGCTATAGATGCCGGTAATCTTCCCTGAAACTGATTATCGCCAAACTCCAAATATTGCAATTTGCTGCAATTGGCTAGAGAAGTTAAAAAATCCATTTCATCAGCTTCTCCACCTCCTAGAGAATTTGTAAACATTGTAAGCAGCTGAAGCTGTTGTAGCTGTCCAAAAGGAAGTGTTAATTTTCCGGAGAAACTATTTTGGCTTATTTCGATCCATTCAAGTTTTGAAGCATTGCATAACGTTACAGGAAGTTGCCCACTAAAATTGTTCCCCCATATCTCAAAGATTGTCAGATGAGGAAGAGTGAGTCCCACGTCCAACAGAATGTTTCCTTCGAGTTGATTTTCAGCCAGAGAGAAAACAGAAAGCATAGAAAGGTTATAGATTGATGAGGGGATCTTACCAGAGAAATTATTCTCGGCAAGTCCAAGAAATCTCAAGCTTCTCAACCGGCCAAAAGCTTCTGGAATGCTACCTCCGAAGTTATTAGAAGCTGCAGACAAGGCTAACAAAGAGGTGAAATTCCCAATCAAAGGTGGGATTTCTCCGGTGAAATGATTCAGATTAATAGAAATATTTGTAAGCTTGGGCAAAGAAGCAAGCTCCACTGGAAAGTTTCCCACTAACTTGTTATAACTAACTCCGAAGAAATTGAGGTTGGAGCAATGAGACAAGTTGGATGGGAGCTTTCCTTCAAAGGAATTGTAGCTCAGATGTAGCAACTTTAATCTGAATAGACGTCCAATTTCAGGTGGGATATCCCCATGAAAGATGTTGTTTGAAAGTCTAATCTCGCGAAGGAAGCTCAAGTTCCCTATGGAAGGAGACAAAGAACCCACCAAGTCCCTGGATGATAGATTCAAGGTGGTTACTCTGTCTCTTCTATGACTGCAAGTGATGCCCGTCCACCTGCAAAAGTGGATAGATTCGTTCCAGGATTTCAAAATCCCTTGAGGATCATTTGAAATCTTGGACTTGAAGGCTATCAAGGCCAGATGATCAGTGACATTTCCGGTTGGAGTACAAGTTGCACATGTGAGAGTTTTAGAACTCCAAAGGTAGAGATGTAAGAGCACAATGGCTTCGAAAAGAGTTGTGCAAGAGACTCTGAAGCAACTCAATGCTAAGTAAGAACACATTATCCCTTGCGTTTTCACTCTTCGGCCGATGAGAACAAGTGCAAACGCCTTTTTGATCAATTTGTCTGCAAAGCAAAATCTCTAGGGAGGAGGAGCAGCTGTGGAATTGAACACAAGTGTTAATATTATATTTCTGGGACTGAGAATGATACCAACTGGGATTTTAGTGAGACTACTTGGGTGCAGGTAAAGCAGTTATCTTTGAATATAATATATAGAGCTCGAACATCCTATATTCCTATTGGCGTCAAAATGTGGATACTTCTAAAATGAGCTGTGGAAAGTCATGGTCAACAAGTGTTGGGCTTTTTTTCAGAGAGGAGAGGACTTGTAGGATAAAGACTAAAAAGAAAGACATTCGGCGTTCCCTCATTTGGTGAGGTGAGAACTGAGAACCCATTTTTCTTCATTCATCTGCCATTAAATGGTAGAAACCTCACGATACATAAACACTAATTTCTACCTAACACACCAACTTTTATTTAATATAATAACTTCTGCCTAACACATTAGATGATGTAGAGGTTTGCTGTCATTTTGCACGGCTCCATGCTGTTGCTGCAGCTCTAATTTTTGCTTTTGCTGCCATTGTCTTGCAGCTTTGACAACACAACTCCAACAATAAGTTAATCGTGTTCATGACTAATATTGCATATTCTGGTTCAATTGAAATTCAAGAGATTAGAAATCATTATCTCACATTTGAAATTTTTCAGGGACTTGTGCCAAAGATTATTAGGAATGCCAATTGTAAGCTTGATTAGTGCATTTCGCTATCGTTATCGCTTGTTTTAGTCTTCATTGAGGAAAACTACTGAAGTTATAAAGTCAATTCATTTTTGGGACCGCCAGTAACTATTGGAAATGAGTGAGCATTGGCAAAATTTCAATTGAAATCGTCATCTTTAATCTGTGCTTATCTACGAATTTCAGGGGATCAATTTAGAATATTTTTTATGTTCCCCTATTGTAAGTTTGATCAATGGAATTCACTATAATTACGTTAGAAAAGCAGCGTTCTTTGTGTTTGACCTTGATTGCCCCTATCCATTGGAAGGAGCCAACACCTGACATTGAATTTTGATGTTGGAAGAAAGACCTAAATAGGTGGATCAATAGTCCAAGAAAACCATGCCTTAGCTTATGTTCAAAGTTCAAACTTTGTTCTAAAACTATTGCAAATTCGAAAATATTCTTTTGAAAATTGACAAATTAATGTGGGTCTAATTTGCAGGAATTAGAACAATGCTCTCATCAAAATGCTTGAAGCAGAACTTTGCTTTATTTGGGGGCATTATGTATTTCATTTAGAAGAAAATTGCTTGAGGCCTCTACTGATGCAATTTGGATGTTATAGTTTCTTGACAGAGTTCTGAAATGACATTTTGCAGTAAGTGGATGCCAAACTCATGCAAAATCCACACATGCTTTTAATTATATTTTTTATTTAGATTTCCTATTATTTGAAAACTTGATATAACCATTATGAGGTGGCGGGGTTAACTTAAAAAATATAGGCAGTAACATTCAGGGAAGGATTGGAGAGATGTTGCATGTTCTGTTACAAACACACTCCATTAGAATAATATTTGGGGTTTAAATTTCATCAATCACATAACCCATTCCCCCGATTGTTCTGTTTAAAAAAAAAAAAAAAATTGGCATTCTGCAAAATCAGTGCTAGCGTAAGACTTGAGTGAGGATGTAGTGCTAGACGAAAGTCACTTCAGGCACGCTTCATTAATCAAGGAAAATCTAACAGCTGAATTTAGAAAACAAGGAAAACAGTATGTATAGTTATGGTAAAATTTATTTACACAAAAATTTTATATATTATATTTATCTAAAATTTTAATGAATTATTTTTTTTTTAATAGTTGAGTTTAACATAATTTTTTTAAAAATAATTATTTTTAATAAATATGAATAAATCTTAATCATTAAAAATTAAAAAATAAATAGTTTATATTTTATATAAGTATAATGTATAAAATTTATGGGTAAATGCATCTT